GTACGTACATACAGATGCGTATCATTAAGAAAAATAAAATTTCCGCATGAAAGTGAGTAGGAGAGAGATGAATCTTCACAAACATTTATTTTCGCATGACTAGAGACACACAAATCGCCAAGTAAACTGATTTTGCCCTCAAAGTAGTTGATCAGGACTTCCTGAGGATGTGTAATACTTCAGAATGTATAAATAGACTTATGTATATACGCTCAGTTTGTGTTCAGCAGTCTCATTAATTAGAAAGACAGGCTTAGATTCCACTTGCTTTTAAGTTGCATTGTCTTTTGTGCTGAAGATAATAAGGTTCACAAAGCGAGCTAAAAATAGAGCGAGCCCAACGTAAACCAAAGCTAAAAATATACGGCACGCAAAACTCGCTTTTGCCGTTTTCACGGAGAAGGCCAGCCTTCGCTCCGCTGCAAAGCCAGCGGTTACCACAGATTTTTAAGGATGGATTTGAAACGAGTGGACACCAGAGCAGCGATGAGAACCGGGACACTTGGGGCAGCCGGGGCTTTCTGCAAAACAGTAGCGCTGCGGGAGCACAACCAGCTGCCCATCTCAGGAAAAAAGAAAAATGCCAGCGAGGACACGGCTGAAAGAGGGCGACATGAGATCTAAAGGGACAAAAAAAGTGAGAGCGAAGGGATTTTAGCTAAAAAGCAACAGAGGATATTCTTGCTGCCTATTTCAGGCTGAGCAGTCACTCACACTTGCAGAGATTAAATGCAGTTCATACAAATAGCTAACTGTCAACGCATAAAATTAATAGATTTCCAGCCACTTTATCCAGAAGGACGAAACCTGGTTTAGCAACGCTTTTGTGTGCATGAATGAATTGAAAGGGCACTTTTCAGCCAGCCTGAGCACCACCTGTCCCAGGGCATGGCGTCAGAGGGGATGTGAGCTTCCAGCTGCACCTCAGCGGGTCCAAGTAGGGCAGTGAGCGGGGAACAAGTAGGACAAAGTAGGTTTAGGAACTTTTATGGAATTCAGGCAATCTGACCACGGTCCAAAGAGCTTAAGGGTCTTTTCCTAGATCACACAATAGCACCCTGGCAAGCTGCTAACGCCCTGGCTTCCAGCCAGAAGCACTGTCCTCCATCCAGCAAACGGGAGAGGGAGTTCTCAACTGAAGGAATGTTTTTGCCTCAAGTTTCCAAGCTAGGCTTGATCGCTAAAACAATTGAAAACATTTACAATCAAATGAAAACAATACGTAATTGTATTGTTTTCCAGCTATTCTGCTGCCAAGAAACAGCTTTGGTCAGGAAACCAGTTGTAAATTTGACAAGGAAGAAACAGAGATAAGTAGGACTCCTTACTTGCCAAGAGAGACTCCCTAAATTTAACTGTCTTGAACTTTGTGAAGGAAGAGTAGGCATTCAGTCCTGCTCAGCCCTACTCTAAACTAAAACCCAGCCAAGTCAAGGTGACACCTAGGACATGGTGCATCACGACTTAAATCAAGCATCCCTGATACAAAGTGAGAGCCAGAGGTAGCTGATAACACAGGAGTTGTAAGTGCAGGTGTGCAGGGATACTGAATGTGTATTTATACTCAGTTATGTTATTGCCAACAGCAACAACGATGCAGATGTCTTTATTTAATGCCAATTAGGCAACGAGCTTTTGGAAATCCTGGCTAGTATCTAATACTATCCTGAGCAAAGTAGGGATGCTTGCGACTTAACTCAATGTGTGCCACCAAGGCATGGGGGTAAGGTAATAAAACCCACCAGGGCAGCTCGTATCACAACAAAGGTTTCAGCACCTCAACTGCAAAAACAAAGGAGAAAAAAAGAAAACAAACCAGCAAACCCCCCATTTTCTGCTGCATTTTTTCTGGGCAATAAAATAAACAATGGGGGAGCTGAGGTTTGGTGGAAAGAGCATCCAGGTGGGAGGACTGCAGGAGGGGAGGTGGTACGTGCTGAGTCCCTGTGAGGAAGGGGCTTCAGCGGAAGAGAGATGAGAGACTGGGGAGTGGACGTGGTGAAAAGGTGAAGGGCACGTTGTCAAGAGATGGGACAAGGGATGGATGAAGTAACAGCAGGGATTACAGACTCTGAGGGAACTATCTGAATACTGTAAACACCACGGAGGGAGAAGAATTGTTTAGGGTGGTTCAGTGATATTTCTAGGAGTGATGGGATGCAGATAAGCAAGTGGAAAATGTAAGCTATTAAACAGGAAACGTTTCCTGACAGTGAAGGCTAATAGACAGTGGAAAAGTCTCCTAAGGGAAGTGGCAGGAGCCGCTCAAACAATTAAAACTAGACTAGACAACATACCTTAGGGCATAATCATGCCTAAGAGCACAGACAACTGACTGGATGTGACAAGTATCTTTCCATCTCACTTCAGAAATAAAGCCATAAAGCCCAGGAGGGATAAAGGGCCATTGTAAATGCAAGGTTCCTATACGTAAGGAGGAATCACACTTGCCTCAAATAAAATCCAAATGCAAATTTTCCTTGTAAGTGACGTAGGGTATGACAGCTCCATTCCTCCTGAGCAGTACCTCCACAAAAGATCTCATTCTCCAGTGTTACGCTAACTGCAAACAAACAAATGAAAAATGTAATTCCCAATAAACATGAACTCATTGTTTGCTCAGGCATTCTGCAGTGTTTATTAGCTCGTTGTTTAAGGTTTAACAGCTTTGAGGACCTTTTTCTTATGAACTGCTGAATTTATATCCTGTTCGACTTCACTGATATCATCCAACTTTCTACACCACTACTGTGACAAGTGTTTGATAGAAAAACACTAAGCCTTTGTTAGTTTGTAGACATTAGGGATTCTGCAGAAAGCCTGCAAAAATTAGACACTAATTATCGGGTGCACATTACATTTGGCAGACACGAGGAAGAATACTCATGAGCGCTGGATATAAGGCAGCAGTAGCCACATGAAGGCTGGATTCTTTTTTATTTTTATTTTTTAAACTTTTTCTCCCTATTACCTTAATGGGCAGACTGAAAGACTTTTAGCCTGCTCATGTGCCAGTCTATCAAGATGTGATTGAAACCCACAAGCTTATTTGAGAGAACCTGCCAAACACATATCAGCTGGTAAAAAGTCAGCAATTGCTTTGACTGAGAAGAGCTGGACCCAGACAGCAATGAAAGGCTCCATAACCCACCTCCATTGCATGACTCCGGTCCAGTTGGGTGGTATTTGAGTTCCCTCAGTGATTCCTGTGGTCGTCTTTGGTTTTCTTGGTTCTATGGTCACGGTCTAAAAGCTCCACAACCTTGCACCCAAGGAACAATGAACTTGCTGCCCTTACTCCCAATTGTGAATCATATTGACCGTAAAATTTGATTTGCATTACAGTAATGCTTTGATGTTTAAGTCACACTCACACTCTCATTGTGCAAGGCACTGTGCAAACACAGAACTGCAGATCTTGTTCCAAGAATTTATGGTAAACAGAGCAGAACACCTCAACCGACCTTGATTTCTCACCTGACAACTTTTCTCTCTGGTTTAACTCACATCCCAAAGAGTCTGAAACAAAATCTTTGCAGGGAACTATCCTGTCGGGCTGCAGCGATGCTCCCGCTTCCAAACATTCACATCCAGGTTATTCCTGCAGTGCAATGGTTTTTCTTCTGCTGAAGGTTCACGCGCACAGAACCAGTAAAGACAGACCGTTCCCCGCCATGGCATGCTGGCGCAGCAGCTGTTAAAGCACACCCTGACCACTGGCCCAGAGAAGTTGCCAAAAATATATCTGCAGTCATTCATCCATGCAACCACTAACACCTATGAGGCATGACCAAGCCCTGTGTAGATTGGCTTACCTGGCACTAGGTAGGCATGTATTGATTAAAATACCAGTTAAGGCACTTGGTGACGTTCTGTGCTTGGAGCTCCCGGTCCTGCTGTTTCCCAGGGGTGATGAGAAAGTTCTCGGCTCCGCCGGGGCTCAGGCCTGAAAAAGACGACAAACAATTTTCAAAAGAGCAGGTCCTAAAGCTAAGTTTTGTGGACGTTTAGAAGCGTGTCAAAAAATAAAACCTTGCCGCAACCTATTTTTTGATAACGACAGACTACTGATGGAGCGACGATGCAGAAATCACTGCAGTTCTTACAATAGCAACGTGGCAGTGGTGTTTACTCTTCTTCTCAAGGTTGCTAAATATTTGTTAAACTAGAAAGTGAGTCAGCATTATTTCTATCTTCCAGTGTAAGATTAATTTTTGTAAGAGATAAACTAAACCAGCATCTTTTTTTAAAGATTAAATTAATTGTCATAAGCTCTGGCAGGTCTCTCTCTGTTGCTCACCACTTTTAGTATTGAGGTTCTATTTATAACTTCTAAATACCTCATAGGTGGATGGTGTTTCTATGCCATTGGTATGAAGATAAAGGTGTTAAAAGGAGTTATGAGCCTTCCAGCAGATGTGTTAAGAGATCACAAATTACAGTAATTAGCAATCTAATGATAGGACTCCTCTGTAATAATCTCTAAAAATTGATTAGAGATTATTAAAATCATTAGTTGTTATTAAAATGTCTATAATTTACTAATCATAGGCAAACAGAAACTATAGTATTAATCATGGTTGTAAGAGGTTTTGAATTGCTATTGATTAAAGTTAAATAACAAAAGAGAACTATTCCTGTTAAAGTCCCCATAAACTTTATAACTGCCATAAACAGGCGTTGAAGCATGTGCCATAAAATAGTCCGTCCTTTCCTGACTAGACCAACACACACTTAAGCCAAATTGACTCTCTGCACCTGGATTCCAAATTTCTTCTGACAAAAAAAGACATAAGAGTAAGACATTCTATTGAAAAAAAATTTCAACCATCTGTGTGAGATCACAGCTGAGGCAGAATGAGGATTCTTCTCTTCTTTCAGGAAATGAGATGGTTCATTTCTTAAAATTCCTTATTGCACCACATAATCTTTTAAAAAGTTCCTGGAACAGAATGAGATAAAGTCATCTTGCATAAGTGAATTTACAAGTATATGAAAGGATGGCGAGTACGGAGCTGAAAAAAGGAAATTTATTTTAACACTACATATATTCAGCCATGGAACTTTTGCCTCAAGAAGCTGCTGAAGCCAAAGTTTCAAACTCAAATGATTTAGAACTGCAACCCATCCCGAGTTCTAGTATTTCCTGCCAGCACAGTTTGGGGAGGAAATATTAACAAACGTGAATGAATCTGTTCATGACCAAGAGGAGATCTAGAAAGAGACAGGGCTGCCTGGTGCAGGATTTTTACGCTCTCTTCTAGATTATTTGATATTAGAACGCAGCCACCCTCAGCCGATGGTGTGCTCCGTGCCACTAAGAAATCCTGGGCAACTAAAAGTTTCTTTGCTGTCAAAGCCCTCACCTCTTACAAGCCAGTGTTGTTTATATATTTAAGGAATGAAACATCATAAACTAATAAAATTGGGCAGAAAAACCTGAAGTCGTCAAAACTGTAATGATTCTCTGAGGTGAATCCATTTCACATCTGCTTTTTGGACGGGCAATTTGTACAGCTTTCTATTCACCTAATTTTGACTATTTGATGGGTGATTTTTTTTTAATTGTTGGTTTGGTTTTTTTTCAGTTGGAGCCCATTGGTGCTATCCATCACAGAAGAATGACCAGTCACACTGTATAGGTACTGCTAAAAAAATTACTTTTCCAATCATGTTAGTGTTTGGATTCTTCTCTTTTGCAAAGAGCCTCTTTAGAGAAATAATGCAAAAATTCTTGATATTTTTAATATTGAATATCTTGAAGATATTCTTGATATTATTAATATTTTTAAAACTGCAAAATAATTATGTGCTGAGAAAGTTCCTATATTAAATTGCAATATGTAAAGCCCTTTACTTCAAAGATGTCTCCAATTTCCCAAGCAAGAATTTATTGACTGTCGAGTAGTTTGGTTTTATCAAGGATTTGCAGTCTACAGAAAAACATTATTTTCTTCACCCTTAAATAGAGCCTCGAAAATGGTATGAAGTAGATGCCAGCTGCAACGGAAGGAAACAGTCACCGATCAATATTGTCACCAAAACTGTCGTTTATGACAAGAGCCTTAAGCCACTCTACTTTGAAGGGTATGATGTGAAAGGGTCTTCAAAATGGAACATAGAAAACAATGGACATACAGGCAAGTATTGTCAAATTATTACTGCTATTATGGGATTTACTTGTGCCTTCAACTTGGAATCATCCATTTGCTTCCTCCATGTCCTGGGCAAGGTGTCGGGTATCACTACTGCCACTTAAAAGCAAGGAAACAAAAATAAACTAGCCCTCGTCCCTCTATTTCAGAAGTGAAACTTTCAGAATAATTTCTGAACCAAGGCTTTCTAGGAAGTTTCTGGAAATTATGTATTATTTCAGATTCTGGACACAGTCCCTGAGAGTCTTGGCAGAAACTGGTCCTGCGTGGGTGCAGAAGCAGAGCTCAGGATGTCTAGGGAACCTCTAGGTCATACAACAAAGTCTAGGACTAGGAGGCAGGTGCGTGTACGGGTTTAGGACAAGAGCTTTGGCAGAGGTATACGATAACTTCTGCTGAATGCTCCTGTTCTCTTCATTTCTGGGCTTGTCCTTTCTGACCTTTGCTTCTGCATAAAGAATTCTGCGGAAGAAGAACGGATTCTGGGGAAGTCAATCAAACAGTAGCTCCCAGTGTGTGTGTCTCACTAGTTCCTTAACGAACGAGCTGAAATCTTCTCAGGTTTCACTATTTTCACCACACATAGAAGTTAGCAAACATGAGCTCATTGATGAGCTACTTACTGGTTCGGTGAACAGTAATCTAGCAGTGTTTTACTTCCTCCACTTTTCTTTGCTAAAAGCAATACTAATTATGATCTTCAACAACATTATGCTAAATAATTTTAAATAAATCTGTTGCCTTTCTTTTTTAAATTATGTATAGGTGTCCTTAAAATCTTAGATGGATTTGTTTTAGTTGCCCAGTCCCTAAAATGGAAAGTTGCAACTGGCAATTATTTTCGTAACTTAAAATGGAAAGGTGGGAAGGTAGACAGCTGTGTAGATTTTCACAGCTAGACATCCTGGTTTAAAACTTTGGTATCTTGACAGACCACAGGAAAAGCCACGTTTTGATTTTTCACTAGCATTTGGGCTGATGACTTTCCCATTACAGAATGATATTCTAGAATCTCCATATGACCATCGCTGTGCACAGAAATATCTTTTACCCCAAAATTAATATTCATAAGGATTGGTCAGAGCTCTCATCTTTCCCAGCCATGCAGAAGGATTAGGTTTTTAATCTAGGCTTTTAAAATTTCTTCCTTCTGAGAGAGCCAATTCCTGTGCTACGATGAGTACAACATTGGAACTGTTATTGCTTAAATTACAGCTGCAATTAGAAGCTCTACATCAGATTAGACTATCGTTGTGTTCGATGATGTGCAGATAGCAAAGGTCAGGGTCTCAAAGGTCCTACAAACAAAGCCAACAAAGATAATGTTACTCATCCATTTACAGATAAAAAAGCAGACTAAATGGCTCACGCAAGCTTCCAGTTAATTTGGAATTCAGAAGAGAAATTAAATCTCTGGGGCTTCAATCCAGGTCAAAGTAATCTTTCCTATGGAAAGAAGAATACTGTGCTTAACAAAGAGGTCTTAATAAGTAAATTTTTAAAATATATCCCAAGTGTCTCAGGCAGAGGAAGTGATGGTGGTTTATAGCTAGAAAAATATCTCCTAAGAAAATTTTATTTTTCCGTTTACCATCCAGTGTTAAATAGATATAATGACTTGGATGCTCAGGCTTAAGTTGCAACACAACTCTAAATTAAAACAGAATAACTTTAAACTCTGCCTAAAACAAATGTTACAGTGCAGAAAATAGGAGATAAAAAGGATGCTTAAAAAACAGAGTGGGATCAAGTTTACTTTTAACAAAACTTTGATAGTGTTCTCTGAGACCAAAAAAAAAAAAAAAAAGGAAGAACGTGAGGTCTTCTGAAAAGCACAAGAGCACAAGTAGCTCTGACTCCCAGGGCTATAACGGCAATGAAAATCTCTGCAAATCCCCTCAGTGCAATCAAGGAAAGATGATCTGGGAAGATAGTCTGTTACCTTAGTATCAATGGATACTAAACCCCTTACCGCGGAACAACCCGAAGTTCTGCTCTGTCCTCCTCCTCCATTTTACAGAGGGAAACAAATATCATCGCTTTTGTTTAATATTACTTCTTCAGCTGCAGCAACGGGCAGCTCAGCTCTCCAGCCACCGAGACTCTCCACAAGTGACTCGAGGTGACCGAGCAGATCCCAGGTGGAGACTCCACCAGCCCCATGTGCTGTGCGCTAGAGCGGTGCCCAAAAGCTGTGGCAGATTCCTGGGAAGTGGGCTATGATATTTCTCCTGTTCATCTCAAATTAATCTCAGCCAGCATTTTCCAAGAGTTCAGCTTCCACAGAGCTGAACTTCTGCAACATTCTCTGTGAAAAACCAAGTCAAAACTTCAGGATAAATTTGAATCTCATGAACGTGGATCTGTCTATTCTCACACACTATTAATGTATGATCTGATTATGTGGGTGTTTTTTAAAAAAAACCCAACTTATTTGTTTTCTCCAGTTAAAGTAACATTAAACGGATCCCCTAAAATCGGAGGCGGGGGTCTGGGAAGAAAATACAAGGCGATAGAATTTCATTTGCACTGGGGAACGAGACTGGAAGGCGCAGAGCAATACCTCCCCGGGTCAGAGCACAGCATCGACGGAGAGAAACAAGCCATGGAGGTAGGTGAGCCTGTTTGTGGGTTATGGCTTTTCCTCAAGAACTCCACCTTTTTAAGATACTGTGGCACAAAAACTATTGTCTAGTTCTGTGAAACCCCAACAGCGGCAGTAAAGAACCGAGGACACGCTGCTCACTGACCAGACCAGGCAGAGAGCACAGCAGCTCCCCGCAGCAAAGGCACAGCACAAGCCTGGCCTTTGGGGAGGAGAAACATTTCAAAGTCTGTACAGTCTGATTACACTCTCAGATTGTATATTGGGATTATAGATTAATTTCTGAATTATTCAGATTATGTATTCATTTCTGGGAATGCAACCACAAATCGACCTCTGTGACTGAAAGCAGAAATAAAGTAGAAATAAAATTGGCAGCTCCTGCCGCAGTTCCAGGGCCTCGAGCTCTCTGTCCATGGGCAGCCAGTCCAGAGGAGCTACTGGGCTGCACCTGCAACACGAGCTGGGGGGGAAAAGGAACAAATAATTGGCCCTGACTCTTGTGTCGCAGCTTCATGTTGTCCACATCAGAGAAGATGTTTCAGATATAACAGAAGCGAAGAAAGCTGAGGCTGGTGTGGCTGTGTTGGCATTCTTTGTGAAGGTAGGCAGCCAGATTTTTAATTGCCTGTCTCAATTTGGCCGAGTGATTGACTGCATTAATGTTAAGCAGTCCAAGACCTAAGCCTCTCTATCTTCTGCAGCCATTCAGTGCCAGCATCTAGTTCCTTTACGCTTTTCTATATTCTGCTTCCTTGTACCTTTTCGCCGTGTGGCTCTTTTCTGTTTTATTCACAATTAGTTTATTTGCGGTTAATTTAAAGCAACCAGTTGTTGACAAATGCAAGATTTGAAAGCAAAATATTTCCATTTCAGGTCGAAGAAGAAAATAAAAACTATGCTACTCTAATAAATGCATTAGAGAATATTAAATACAAAGGTAAGACACTTGTGTTGGTCAAAACACAACCTATATTTCGAGTACGTGTACCACCAGGTCGTTCATGGTCCAATCCTGTCCTAATTGCAGTAGAGGTCGTTACATGAAAGTCAAAGCCAAAAGATAAAGGTTGGTTTGTCAGGCACTCAGAGCATCGCAGGTGAGAGAGATTCTAGATCTCCGTATTCGCAGGGAAGACCCCCCTCATAACCAGAACGTTTTTTTCTGCAGGAGGAAGCAGAATGAGAAGGAAAACACAAGAGGGGTGTGTGACCCGTGTGCCGCGGGGTCCTGCGGTTGGGGATTCCCCCTGCAGCTCGGTGCGGCCAGGGAAGCGCACATGGGGATGAGGTTTTACAGAGCCAGGAGAAGCAGCTGCGTCCAGAGATACACACGAACAGCCTCTGCTCGTCACGAGCAATATTTCCCCGTGTTCCGCCCAGGGCAAGCAGCACAGATGGAGCCTTCGCCACTGAGCTCTCTCCTCCCACCTGAGGAAGACCTGGGGAAATACTACCGGTACGAAGGCTCCCTCACCACTCCCGACTGCCACGAGGGAGTCATCTGGACGGTGTTTGAGAAGCCGATTGAACTCAGTGATTCCCAGGTAAGTGGCAGAGGGATGGCTTGGAAGGTTTGCTTGTGGTTATTTGTCCTTTTGGTCACCTGCTCACTCCTGCAACCCTAACGGGGACTTGTCACCTGTCCCACTGCCGCCTTCCCGTGACACACGCACCCCCGCTCGCCTGAACGCAGTCCCTAGTGCCAGTTTCTCGACCCTGTTAAATCACCTCCCAAAAAATGGCAGGAAAGGGGCAGGAAGGGGAGATGACGATGTGAAAAGAAAGCCAGAAAAGCCCGACAGGTAAACGCCCAGCTCAGCACCACCGCTGCCATCTGCTCCCTCCCTAATCTCACTGCTCCTCTCCTGCTGTCGGCACAAGGACAGCACACGTCCAAAGCCAAACCTGGCGTGTACTAGCGTCAGCTTTTGTCCCAAGGAGAGGAACAGGAGACTGAGTCATGACTGCCTCTAAAGTGCTGATTAAATGCTGATTGTTCAGCTGACAGGATAAAAAAATTCAGAGGTCCTGGAGTGGACTCTCGGCAATGGTACCAACCCAGCCGAGGGCCAGCATTTGTGTTTTGTTCTATGTCCTCGCAATCCCTTCAGCCATGCACACGCCAGCTCGGCACGGTGCACACGGGCGAGCGCCGGCTCGCTCTGGGCCAGCACCGCGCTGCAAGCAGTTAGAAATGTGAAGCAAAGTCAAAAAAAATCCCAGTCCTCTTACTCTGTCTCCCTGTGACGTGATGGGCGAGGACAGGGCTGGTGCGTCAGGGGGACTGGTGTCACCAGGTCCTTGAGGTGGACAAAGCACTTGGCTCACGCGGAAGGGAAGCCCTCGTGATTTCCAGGCTGCAAGAAGTCCTCTGTCGGTGACCTCTGGCAGCAGCCTCCGTCACGCTGCTTCCTGCAGGGCTGAACGCACCCACACAGTCCAGGAGATCGAGGCACTGCAGGTTCAGGATATCACGATTTCCAGCATTTTGTGAAAAAAGCATTTAACGATCTTTGTTTGTTTGTTTTCTTCCATGTCTGCAGATTTCTCAATTTTTAAGAGTCCATTTCGAAGACAAGAACTCATCTGTCATGGCCGAAAATTTCCGGCCCGTGCAGTTTCTGAACGAGCGAAAGGTGTACTGCTCCAGCGGGAGCACCCTCCTGCCTCCTGCCCAGGGGTTAATGCTGGCCCTGATGCTTACCTGCCTCCTGGGCTCTCTTCTCCAATGAACACTTCTCACCTCACTCAAGGTTCTGGGATTTTTGGAGACTTTTGTTGTTTGGGGTTTTTTTAATTGCTATTGTTGTTTGGGGTTTTTTTTGTATCAAGTATTCTCTCTAACTACCAATTCCAGAATCGTATCTGAATGCAGAATTTAGCCTTGTCCTCCTCCGGACACTAACCAGGGATTTCTGCTGCTGCTCCTGTATAAAATGAAAGCCATTGCACTAAATCACAAGAATTCAAAAGGAACTGTAAGATAAAGCTATGACGATTCAGATTTAAAAAGAAAAACCACAACACATAGAAAGAAGACTTTAGGATGGGTTATCTGCAAGCCTGTCTTTTAGCCCAGAACTCAAGGGACCCAAGCTATACAGAGGACCTTCAAGAGGAATCTGTTCTAAAGTGCCTGTGAAGGTTTTTTATTGGAGTATGTTTACGTCCAGCGCTGCAAATGAGGAAGATGTGGAGTAATTGTTATCATCCCTAGATTGTCCTACACAAAAGTACAACACAAAGAAAAGACAAAATGCTCAAGTACAATTGAGCAACATCTGGGTCACCCTATTTGGTGAAGGATATGAAATAAATTTCACCTGTACTAGAATAATTTTCCCTCCTTCTTCTTTCACAGTACCTACTTTTTAGATCAGGCTACTGGATTCCTTTCATCTAATGTACAGATTCTGCATTTCAGGTTTCTCTGTGAAGCCTGTTGATCCAGCCTAGCCCAGCACCCTTCCCTGGGGTGCCCGCGGCTGAGGCAATGTGCTAGAAGGAAGAAGGGAAGCTCAACCACACGCACCGGCTGCCCATCTGTGGAAATTCCCTCTCTTTGGAGGGCTGCGTTGGAAGCAAGAGACTTAGATGATCCTTTACAGTTTTCGCTTGCTTTATAAAATGGGACAGCTCAAGAAATGGCTCTTTCCAGGATCAGGTCTTAGAACTTTTTAAGTGTCAATCTGAACAGTGCAGTGTGAACATTTCCACTTTTTTTTTTTTTTAATAACATAACCGCAATATTGCATATGGTTAAGATTCATAGTTTTTCCAAGAAAATTGTGATTTGAACTGATTTCTTCAGATCTTACCCAATTACTTACAGAAAAGCTCAATATATTGGGAAATGGGATTTTGTGATATTATTCCAGTTCTCTCTCTGAACAGCGATGCAACCATTTTCTTTGGCTAATGTAATATAATGTTACAGCTTCTTTTAGAATTTTAGATTTTGGCCACACCAAATTAGGATTTCATATTAGCAGACCTGTATTTTTTCTTTAGGGCAACATTTGCAGACCTGACTTTATGCTACAGCTCTATGGCCATTTTCGGGAAAATCAAGGCAGTGTGATAACCACAGCTCACCAAAAACAAAAAGTGAGGGGAGGGGGAATTATTTTCATGTTTAAAAATCATTAATATTAGCTTTAAAAAAAAAAACAACACAGGAAAGCAAATTCACCTTTTTAAGTTTAGAGGAATGACTAAGACTTCAACTGCATTTTTAGCTAAGCAAAACCTTTTGAGAAGCAAACATAAATGAAGTATTAAAGTTAAACCAAGACCTATGATTTCATTGCCTGGAGTTTTTATTTCTTTCATCCTTGCTGGAGGGGAATCCACAAAACATTCCTTCAGAATTCCTTTGCAATGTTTAGGGTTGGGTTTGCATTTGGGGGAGGGAGGGGAGGTGTGTGGGTGGATTTACGTTACATTGGGAGCAACAGAAGAAACTACGGAGGATCTGAGTCCACTGCAATTTATTGTTAGTGATGTACGGAAGCAACTTTTCACTAGGTTGTGCCTCAGTTTACCACGCAGATAGAGAGTAAAATTTACAGCTTAAATTAGTTACGAGGTGAGAGAATCTTCTTTACTAAAAAATATATTAAAACATAACTAAGAGGAAGAAAAAAAATTCCACTGAGAGGACGATTAGTCCTCTGCAAGCTTGCTTCTGCACAAGCCTCAGCATGAATAAAATCTGAACAGCTGAGGATAACCATATTTTCACTCAGTGAATCTGAATTTTATGCCAATGAGGCCAAGGGAAACGCTACAATCTGCATCTGTGTCAGTGACGTAGTTCAATTTGTTCTTTGTCAGAGGTGCCTCTCTGCAGCCAGGCAGACACATTGCACTCTGGTGCAGGACGGGACAATCGCAGGACTAGTATTAATGCAGCAAATAAATACAAATCTACAGCAGAAGCTACGCAACTCGAAAAAGTAAAAGACAGGAAGGGCTTGAAATGGGACATTTGTTTTTCTTTTGTGAAGACAGTTATGGAAAAGTAATTTACCGTTCCACAAGTAGCTTCAGGTGCTGGTTTTCAAGAATTAGGCTGTGCTACACTTGGCATGAAACGTCTTGTGTTGCGAAGACACTAGGAAACAAGGGTAACTCCTGAAGAACTAATAGCCAAGCTGTGATAATACACAAAAGGGAGGGGAAGAAACAGATTTAAAAAGACACAGAAAGAACAGCATTTTCCTAGATACAGAAAAGTTAACAGAGAACCTTGCTAATACATTTCACGTATGTTGGAGCCAGAGTTGAAGTCAGTTTGGCTTCTCTGACTGAAAACTGGAGCACAATAGAAAACAAAACAACACTGGAAGTTAAATCCACTGGAGGTGTTCAGGTTTGAAACAAAAAAGACAAGCGGGGGCTTTGCTGGGCTGAGTAAAGTCAGAGGTGTTGGGATGGCAGAAACCCAGGCGTGTGAACTGACCTGGTCGAGCGGGCAAAGACCGAAACATGCGGGGAGACGGTGAAAGTCTGGACGGGGCTGTGCTTGTGACAGCTCTGTCCTTTGGCAGCAGCTTGACTTGGGTGAAGGGTTTGCCTGTCACAGCTCTCGTGGCACGCTCCGTTCACCGTAAGCTTCAACAGCAACCAGGGACCCACCAGCTTCAGGGGGTGCCCCTCGTTTCCAAAAACATACCAAGCTGAAATAAAAGTGTCCAAAAAGTAGCCCTTCTCCGGGTTTGGGTCAGACCTTGATTTAAGTGCAAACCTTCCGAGGGCTGAAGGAGCAGATCTGCCAGATGAGCCCAAGCCCAGCTTCACTCCTACCTCAACCATCTGACCATTGGCAGGGGAGGCGGAGGGGGGGTGACAGGAGGGGCAGGCACAAAAAAAAATTCTTCATACAATATCTTTTCAGCAAAACATTTTCTCAGGAAGCAGAAAGAGACAAGGAAACTTAGCCATTACTCACAAGAAATATATTTACATTACCCACAAAGAATTTTAACAAACTTGCCAGCTGCATTGTATGGTCAGCTCCTCCTGCTGACAAACAGGAGCTCAAAATGCACTTTTCTCCTGTGAAAAATTAATTTTCCATGACTGCCTAGAGAAAACGATAAAGCTTTTTGGTTTTCCCTTTCCTCCTTTGCCCATCCAGAAGTGAATCTCATAGGGAAGACAACATTTGCTGGCACAGACAGCAGCCTTCCTGTTAAACTGGTGTCATCTAGAAAATCCACGTAAAATATCCCTTTTCCAGTCTAATAAATGATTATATGAAAAATTATTGTTCTTGGAGACGTGAGGGTCTTTTTGACAGAGTCAGAAGTGGCCTTGGTGCTAAAAATGACGTGGCATGTGGACACATTTCAGTGACAGAGAAAGAAATGTCGTGGTAGGTCAGTGCAGCCAGAGGTGACCGTGGAAAACGTTCCACGTAGGAAAAAATCATATGTAAAATATATATAAAAAAAGGAAAAAGCAGGATTTGCCAGTAAATTAATGTGTATGTATGGAAATGGCAATAAAACTCTAGCTGAGAGGGACTGAAGAAATAAACACGAGGAAACCGAGACCAGCAGCCTCCTGCCGCGCCGCCCAGCCAGCCCCACGCACAGGGGACAACCCACGCACAGGGGACAACGTGTCCAATCACAAACCTGCAGGATTCTTCCACAAGAAGCACCTAAAACCCACCTCGCGCCTACGCTTGCCCTTACGGTGCCACAGGCACCGCAGCCCGACCCCTGCGATGCCCACCTGAGGCACCCTGTGCCCTGGGGCAGCGCTCAGCCTGGTGCCTTGTTTTTCCCAGTTTGATTTCCCTGTTTGCAATCTCTTTTGCAGACAGGACCGACTCATCCCTCTGCTGGCCGGAGGCCTTGGGAAGCGGCGGCGTGGCAGGGCCACCGTCCTGGCATCGTGGCGGGAGGGCTGCGGCGCCCGACGTTGAAGTTGGGTTCATCCCAGGCAGGGCAGTCCTGCCACTTAAAAAGTGACCTGAGAGAATAAAAGAGGAGAGAGGCAATAAGATAAAAGGGGAGAAAAGAGAGTTCATGGCTCCAGCGAACAAGGGCGATGTTTCCAGCACATTCCCAGACACCTCTGGAAGAGTTGGCCAACGCTTCAGGTCACCAGCGCGGACCCTGGTGCGCATCACAGGGTAAAAAGCCACCAAAAAATTCAGGAGCACCGGCAACAGTATGAGCGGGGCTGCGGTGACCTCAGCCAGGCTGGGTGAAGTTGGGGCCGTTTGTCTTTTTGACATCCTACAAACTCTTCCTGAGCACGGACGCAACTCGTTGAAGCCAAGTGCTGAGAATGGGAACATGCAGTTTTCATTCTGAAGCTTAAATATATTTCCTAAAAATAACCCACTGTTTGGGGCTTTTATTATCAGAAATAAATCCATATACACCCATAAAACCTGATTATAATAAGGCACACAATTAAAATTATGAGTGTAATTAACTACAGCAATTAATTGAAATGCCTTTGGGACATTAATTCCCTTCTTGCAATTGAATGCAATTTCTATGTAAAGTTATATTATAAAAGGTATAAAATTGTAATCAATTTCAGTTAATTTATTATCTTTTACCTATTAATACCTTCTGAAATGATTTAGACATCTAGCACTCAAATATGGTTTTGATTTTAAAAAATCCAAACAGCCAGCCCTATTTTAATAACTATGGGTTTTGGGTTTTTTATAATCTATCTACTCCTAGCTATACTTTTCTGTGCC